TTGATTCGTGTTACAGAGAAAGTCGTGTGCGTGCACGGGTACCTGAGTCAAATTCCCCGTATATCGTGTATCGAGTGTGCATACACGTGTCTTTTCTCGTGTGTGTATTCCCCCCTCAATGTTGATTCACTCCTGTACACACACGCTACTCTACCGAGTCGTACGTGAGCTCGTGGTAACGATGGATTTAATATGCTCTCAATCAGATCAAGTATCTTGAATCGCTTTTCATTTCAATCGAACAATTTCAAATTAACAATTTTTTATAATATAGTTGTTACAATTAAAAAGAAAATTATTTATTTATTGCTCTGAAACAAACACCTGCATATTTCAATTGTATTCTTTTTAAAAAAAAGTCAATATTGTGTCTTCAACCTTTTGCATTTTTTATGAAATTAAATTAATTGAAAAATTTAGGATATTGCTATCGTTTAAATAAAAATGATAACTCATAACCATCGCTACCGGTAGAATCCGTGTGTGCGAATATAGCCTAAAGGCTGTTTCACAAACAGCGCTCGTCTCGCAATGGGGATCTAAATCCAAATGAAAATAGGAACACGTGTGTGAACGTTGTATATCGATTTCGGTGTAATACATAGGGCAGCATGAATAAATTTCGAAACATACCGTGCAACGGTAAATACGAAGCTAGAAAATTGCTTCATTTTTTCATTTTTCTTTTTCCCCCTCGTAAATGATTGTAACGGATAAACATTAAATAAATTTTCGAGAAAAAAGGCTTCGGTATTTTTGATGCAGTTTCGAAGCTAATATCGATCAATGAAATGGAATAAATTATTCGAGTAACAGAATATTTGCACAAGAAAAGCTTGTTTGTCTGTGTAATAAACGAGGAACTTCTTTTTAACAGATTCTCTACCGTGAATTTGCATCTAATAATTTAAATTTCAATACCACTTAAGTACTGAGTCAACCAGATTGCATTTACAACGCTAATCCATTTAGCTGAATGTAAAAACGAGAAATCGAGAACATATTTCATTTTATTTGCATCGTTACTCATTAGTTTTATATTAGTATCATATCATTTCGAAAGAAATTAATTAATCTGTATTCGTGATTTCACCTTAATCTCAGGATTAAATAAAATTATTAATAACATTTCCTAATGAATTATTAATAATGATTAAGAAAGATATCAGTTTTTATTTAAACGCTTATCTTTTATCATTGATGTGCAACAAAGGCTTCAAATCGCCATTATAAAGAAACTAATTAACTGCTATTGTTTTTCTTCTCATTATAGTTGATCGATAAACAAAAGTAAACAATCTATTTTTGCCTATATTTTTATCAATCTCCGAGTGGAGTCAAGGATACCAAAGCCGGCACACATTGTGCCTCATGATTATTAAACAGTCCTCGATCGTGTCTTTCTGTCCGCCGGCCAATCTGCATATTAGCTTTATTTATAACAGCTGCTGCGATTAATCACGAAATAAAATGTACGATGCACGGTTATAAGCACCGTCCGCCTATTTACCGGACAAATCGATATTTTCGTTTCTATGTTCGAGCAACAACATCTGGATAATAATCAACGAAATAGAAAATGTAATATCCATTAGTAGCTATTTTAAAGGTGTTCTGTTTTATATTTCATTATAAATTAACGTTTCAATTCTTGATTAAAATCATTCTTAAGGTAATTAAAATAAAAACATTTTATTTATCAAAATTTCGCTTCCCATTTAAAATATCATTTTAAGCAACTGTTATTTAAAATAGTACTTCGGATAATTTTTTCTCCTTCTATATTTTATCCAACTCTGTTCGTAATCCGCGAATAATTCTTTTGTTTTCTTCTCATCCGGTTGATGAATGAGCGCCACTGGGCATGACTGACAACGAGCATAAATAATAAACCGATCGTAACGTTTCGCGTGTGTACACGAATAAAATGTACTCGAACGAGGCATCGACAAGCCGTGTTGAATAATACATGGCGTTGTCGCTATATTCCACGATGCAACGACGAAATATTTGGCTGGGTCGGTACCCGATGGTAATTGGAGTGTGTGAGGGTAAATAATGAAGGCAGAAACGCTTCACGAAAATCCATGCACACCGGGCCAAGTGTACTACTACCGTGAACGGGTAATGGTAGCGGGGAATAGTTAAAAAGAAGTTGGGATAGGAGAAAGAGGAGAGAGAAAAAAAAAATATATGTGAGGAGAGTCGGTAGATGCAATTGCGATATCAATGGCGTTGGGGTTTCGCAGACGATGCAGCTGTAGCAGAGAAACGAGATTAACGCTATAAATACCATTGGTGGTCGAGCCAGGCCGGATCGTGTCTTCTTGACCAACGCGGAAACTTTTGGCCCCGACTGTACTCTTAAAACATTGGAAATAGTTATGGCAGCGGTGCTCATTCCACGGCAGCTATACTTTACGTTTATTGATTCAATTATGTAACGTGGACTCTCCTCGATTGATGCAGAGAGAGCATGTGCCTTCGATTAAGAGAAACTATTTTTTTTTTTTTTTTTTTTTCATCATTGTTCGAATCAAACGCGCTTTCTATCCGGTGTGCTATTAATTTAATTTAATTTTTTTTTCTATTTAAAAATTTATTCGTAAAGAATTTTTGTTGCAAATGAAGAATCATTTTTATGAAAATAAATTTGAATTCAATTTCAATTGGAACGTTACACGGGAAACATTATTATTTCTCGTTATTATGATTATTTGCGAAGGGAATATTAAAAAGAAAAGATGGTTAAGTGGATGGTAGCATGTCTGGAGGAACGGATTATTACAGGCCTGACTTGGCGGACAATTAAACTCGATGCAATCGCAGTAGGAAATAGCCGTGCTATTGAAGTATTAGAGTTAACGAAGTAATTGTGCTTTTTTTTTTTGCGAGCATCCCGCGATGTTTGTGTATCCTGAATCAGAATTGAAGAACCGTGGCCATTATTTCCCGTCTATATTTGAGCATTTAATCGTACCATCTTCATTTTTCTCGACACAATAGAAAAATGATAATTTTGCATTGCAATTACGAGAAGAGTGTATTTGAGGAAAGGTAAAAAAGGGGGTTAGAATGTAAATCGTAGAACCTTTCCGTCGCTTTACCATCGACGATTCGTTCGATTTCAAATCGACCGTGATAAATAAAGCAAAAGAAGAAGAATTGGACAAGTTCTGGCTGCAAAAGTAGATGGTTCTATGGAGTCAGTCCGGAGCAGTAAGATAAAGAGAGACAGGATACGAAAGGTGTTTTTCTTTTTCACTCGGTTGCTATTGGATATTCCGAATTACGATGGCAATCTTTTTCATTGCCGTGAAAGCTCGGGACATCGCATTTGCAATTCGATACGACGCGGTGTTTGAACTCGTATTAACTCACAGCTGCATGAAAAAGGTGAATACACCTCCTTTTTTTTGTTCATGAAAATTAAAATGGGGTTGGAAGTTTTACATTTTAGCTGAATTAAGAAATACTTCTGTAAATAAAAAAAAAAAACTCACACTATAACGGTTTGAGTCTAAAGTACATTTCTAAAATAACGCTGGATTGAAAATTAAAATCGAATAGATTAGATAAGAATATCTAATAGTAACTTGATACTTATCTGTGTGTACACACGACACCTTGAATACGTATAGAATTTCAATATCGAGGAATTATTATTTTTTTTAATACTCCAAACAATTCGATTTTGCCGCGTGGGTACTGAGTATGCGCAGTGTGCAGCGCGCGATGCGCTCTTGCATTCGAAATTGCATATAACGGATCGTTTATCCCCTTCTTCGTTCTCCTATGAGATAATAAATTTTTTTTCTTTCTTGAACAAACAACACGATAAATGAAAATCGGTGCTTGTACATTCGTCGTCAAAAATATCGGATCGAGTGAAAATGATATTTTCAACGACCTGATAAAACATTTGCTGTATTACTTGAAGAAAACGTGAGCTACTTCTTATCTAAGCATAGCTGATTTTAAAGAGGCTCGTTTTTTAAATGTCACCACTCGATTATAAATAGCCGAGGCATAATCGTATCGATAATCCATAATTCTCGAAAGTTGACACGAAATTTGTATTAAAAGCATAAAATTGATACGTTTTATTTTTCACCAGAACTGCCGCGGGAGAACCGCTTTTAAATGTACCTTGGAAAATTTATTGCTTTACCTTCATTAGTTTCCACGTTATCTGAATTTAAACACGCCGTGTGTCGTTTTTATTCACACTCTTAAACGAGCTCAAGGTTTATCAATCAATATCAACAGTCGGTTAAATATAATTTTTTTAAATATTCTCGAGGAGAGTGGAATGGATTCAATGTAAATAAGATATTCGAAATTCTTTATAGATGACGAAAAATTGGAAACTTTTTTTTATTTTTACATAAAATAAAATCGTGTAAATTGATTTAAATATTAATTTAGCGGATATCAGAAAATGGTGGGTCATAATTTATAACACTTATTAAGAAACAATAGTGTTAGCGATAAATACGTCAGTTAAAAAGAGTACATTGTTACAAATGAGACCCTCTTGGCATGGGATATGAGTCATCTAACGACTTGTTTCACTCGACGAACATCCATAAAACCAAACTGACAGCCTACAAATAAGCATGCTCGACGGTCAGCCTTAAATGTTCTTTGCCGTTTCGCTGACAACGAAACGTTGCCTTATTTTTGCTCCTCGAATACCGCGTGAAACGAACAATAATTACTATTTACCGAGAAACGTTCAGCGAAACGGTTGCTTGAATCGCTTGCCAAGCAACTGTACTTACGTGTGTCTGTAAGAAATACGGAAAACTGGAAGAACGATAATGCTAATGAATGTTATTTATAACTTTCTAAGGATTTCAACCTTATAACAGATTTACAGGTTATTAGTTAAATTCCAGGAAATGATAGTTAAACGAAGTCCAAGTTAAATTATAATTGTAGAAAGTGGTATACGCACTGATTTACTAATAATTTAATTTTTATTATTTTTGTTCCAGTTATTGGGCAGTGCTTGCTTCAGCCACGGCCCGTATACGTTTTACAAAGCGGTGAGGATAGGAAACGGTCGCGTCCTACGTTTAGGCAGCTTCTTTCTGACGAAATTGTGGAGCGATGCCGACTTGGTTAGCATCGGTGAACTTCAGCTTTTATGGATGGACAGTCGGGGGCCAAATCAACCTCTGGCATCTTTACGGCTCTACTTCTTGCCGGAGAACACCCCGGATGGCCGAAGGGACACGCACGGAGAGGTGAGTGATATCATCACCTTTATCTTATTCTTATTTTCTTCGATTTCGTCCGTCTATTTTACATCGCTCTAGAACAAAAGTTATAATTTATTTAGAACGAATTAATTTTTCTAACAAAACAAAAAAAAAAAAATCGTAGCTTCGATTCGACAAACAACTGGTCTTGATCCTAATTGAAAAACATACAACGCGAATAATTGTAAATTAACCGGTAATCTGCGAATAGCAGACCGTGTCGTTTCACGAGGAGGAAATGTTCTTTCAACGTTGTAAACCGGTTTACGAGTTTTGTTTTCTATGTTGTTCGACCATTTCATCCGTAAAAATTTCCTCGAACTCGACTACTCCTTTTATTCGTCATTTTTTTTTTGTCCCCATACGTTTTTTATTCGATCGATGAGTTAATTTTCTAATAATTAAATGATTAGAAGCGTGCGTTTTAAAGTACCGGTTTTCCGCATTAGATACAAAAACAATTTATCGATTGTTGACATTAAAAGGAAAAAAAAATATATTGATTAAGAACAAGATCAATTGCAAAAGATTGCATGAATATTAACGTTCGATGTTTTGTGTGATCGTCAAAAGCTGGATAAACGAGTTTTATGTAATTAAGCGAATTCATGTTATCGTAAAACGTGCATCAATAGAGAAACGGATTAACGTTCATCAGCACGTGGCCTGTACGTGTATTGCGTTTCATAAAACTAACATTTAAACCGGAGAATGCATTATTCATTACGTCATTTCTGCGGACAGTATTAGAACGTAACCTTGTCCGGCTCGTAGATACTTGTATTTCTGCATACAGTTACATAGTACAACAGAGTGTTGTTTTAAACACTTGAAACGATCGTGTTTCCACTGATTTTGCAACATATTTTTAATTGGAATTATTTTTTTCAATCTACCAAACATTATCATATTTTGATATATTTTTCCATTTTAAGGATGATTTTTACTTTTCAACAAATAATTATTTTTCCTTTTCTCGGATACGAATGTCAGATTTGATTTCCTGCCACAGTGAAATTTTTTCTGTTCTATCAAAAAAGGGGGAAAAAAATTGTGATCGCTTTTTTCCTGCTATGCTTTTCATTTTCTTTTTCGATTTCAACAACAATTCGGCAAACCACATGGAAGAATCGCACGGGCGGTTTTTCGTTTGATTTTCATTAATAATAGTTGTAAAACCGACTCAACCGAAGGGGTTAAAAATGATGTTCCCGTTTGAAGTTATAGATTCCACGTTGGTTGATTTTATTACTAGATATTAACAAAATTTTGTAACTCTCGAGTGAGTGATGCAAAATACCGTAGCATATTCCTTCATCAGAAATATCTGTTGCAATTAGCGAAATACCTTGCCAAACTTCACCGAAGTTTTCGAACGACCCTATGAATTTCATTGCTCGTCGTTTGTATAGTGTTACATCGTTCAAGTAATTGCTAGAACTTGCTAATTAACCAGATAATAATTGATAAAAGTTATATTAAATATTAGTAGAATAATACTGACTAACGATGAGGTTTACTTAAGTATAAGGTTTGCATATTAAACGTGAATTTCTGCAAACTCATTCATGAATTTAAAAAACAAAAAACGTGTTCAATTTCAATGATATTATTCGACTGCACGCCTGCGCTCTCGGTGGAAAAAAGAAAAATTCGATAACCACCGATACCTCGTTTTCACGTTCCTCTATTAGCAACCAGGATATAAATCTATATTTTGTTTTACGAGTACCACCATGGAATTTCATGAATTTTTCAGCTCCACCATTCCAACTCCTGTTTTTTTTTCCTCGTACCAAGCATTATGCCTTGATTGGTTTATTTGATGAATTTTATTTTATTTTCCTTTAAAGCAAGAATTTTTTTCATTCCATTTTCGATAAATAATTGCACATCTGATTTCTGGATATTCGTCGAATTATTAATTAATATTTTGCTTGGATTCGTTCCACTGTAATTGCTAATTGTTACACGTTCGTGTTATCTCTGCCTCGCGCTAACGTTCATCAAAGATCAACACTGACACCGCAAATATTTATACACATCTTACACGATGATACAACGCAAACATACCATTCAAACTTCGAGTAAAGTTCCCTCGAAATTCCAAATGTTTTTTTTTTTTTTCACCTTTTCTTATTTTAATTATACCAAATGTTGAATTTCATAATTAACACGTTAACTGCTTCATTAATATTATAATTTCGAACGGGAATTCTTTATTCGAATAATTCGAGTAGTTGAGCTATTCAAAGTCGTACAGCCCTATTAGAGGCCACTAGTCGGATGAAGAAAAGAAGGACTAGTGGAATAATCAAAAGCAGACTGTCGCGAAAGGAAACGGTCGTTAAAGAAGGAGACCATTAGCATGTCGTTAGCATAATACAAGGTGAATTTGATTCGGAGTACACGAATGTGCCCTGGACAATATCGTGCTAGCGGTAATCGTGTTATTATAAGACAGATTAATTCTAGTTTAAACGAGTACCATCGAACCTTTAACCCTTTTGCGGTCTACCGCGAATTCAACGTTTCGTTCTAGCAAAATGATAATTCAATGAATAATTACGAACGTTATAATATCGTTGAAAAGAAAAAGAAGAAAAATTATTTATTATTCATCAAAATGTCATGCGCTTTATTTTTCATTTCATTATTGTTTCATCAAAAAGAGATGCACAAGAATTTTTAAATCGATTATCCGCTCGTAAAATAGAAGGGAGATATAGAAAAAAGAATGAAAAGAGTTGAAAAAAGATAGGCGTGCCGTGCGGTATTGTTGAATATAATGTAAATATGAACTGCAAAGAGAAAATAGCAAAGAAGAGCGGGCAAAGTGTTGTTTTGCATGCGTTCCATCGCGATCGAACATACACGTGGCGAATATTTCATTGCACTCTGTCAGAAAACACTTTACGCTCGTTTATTTCCTCCCTGCTGAAGAAAAACGATAGAAAGAAATATAATAATTTGTTCCGGGAACGATGAAATTTATTTGCACTAGTTTCTTCTGATATTTCGATATTTTCTTACCCTTTTTCGAACATTTCATTCTGTTTTATTCGTTTGTCAAAGAGAATCTTAACACTCAATTTCCTTGGGAGTGTACCGGTACTTGAATATTAGGTTCACAAGCACTCAACCTGAGTTCTCGAGGTCTGAGTAGCTGAAAAGTGTGCTAGTACCAGAGTATTCAGCTCGAAACAAAGTTTCAGAAGAAACAAACACTGGAAAGAAAATTCATTTTAAACGCGAATATTTAATACTAGGACTAAATACCGTGTGTCGCCGACTTTCCGGACGGATTCTTGGTATTTATAGGGGGGGGGGGCATGGTGTCAAGAATGCATTGAGAAAAAAATTTCTAAGTCCTAATTTTATCAGTCTAATTTACTAAAGCTAGAAAAAATTATTAAAAATGCAAAAAATACATAAATTGTACTTCTAGTAATTTTGCAACGTTATAAACATAAAAATATTGCTTTCCCAAGGAACACTTCGTATGAAAATGCACGCAATTAACGTTTGCGACGCGAACTAAAGAAAACAAGAGAGAGTAAAAGAAAATTTCATTTAAACAGCGAGCCAACTAGTAGTGTAAACTTTTCCATTTTCTGTTCTTTAGAAATATTTTTCATTAATAAAGAAAATTTGCTTACTCTGAATTTTTCTTTTTCTCATTATAAAATATTGTAATACCGTTAATAAAAAGGAACGAGAGAGAGAAAGAGAGAGAAAATATTCACTTTAATTTAAATTGATAATATGCATTCATAAAGGGAATTATTAATGGCTTTCATTGTGTGTTGAATGGGAACGCGAATATACAAAAATATAATTATTCGTTGCATTTGAATACAAATCAAATTGTTTTCAAGCCAGTACATGGAACGAACAATAAATTATTCGTGAAAAGCAACGAGAAATTAATGTACATGAAACGTGGAACGATCATCTAATGCAACTTTGTATTCGGGTTTGTACATACATGCATAAGTAGCAACGCACAAAAATCAATGCACTGTTTGCAAAGGCTCTTATTCAGAAGCGTGACTTACATAACGCATTCAGTGCAGTGGCAATGTTTCATACAAATATGACTTCGGTAAAGCCTTGTGCAAACTGGCGGAATAGTTCTCCACCACGACGATTACGCTTCTTTCGTCAGAATCTGAAATCCTTTTCTTCTTTTTCATTCGTACGATGAAATTGACAGGGACTCTTACATATGACCTCTTTTTTCCGTATAAGAAAGCTGAATTATTGAATTTTTATATTTCCGGCGTTTTATATTAAATTAACCGCTCCTCTATCTCAAATAATTTATCATATAAATGGCTAGATTAACAGCTTGATGGATTGAATTAATTTAACAGACGGTTTTCAGTGGCCGTATTTTAAAATGCAATCAAACTCTATTGATAAAATATTGGACGAACTGAATTGCGAGTATTAAAATTAAAATTTGATAAAAAGTAGGTCTCCTTAATTTTTTTTTTTTTTTTTTTTTTTTTTATGAAATCATATATTTTGTAATCGATGCAGTTTGTTATTCTTTATTAAATTTTCCAACTTTCAACAAAAATAATATCGAATGTTTCTCTTTGTTGAATATTATTATTATTCGAGATTTAATTATCATTCGAGCCAGTTTCGATTCTACAATGTACGTACGCGATCGAATCTGTGAAACGAAATAATTAGGGAAATATTTAATTAAATTGTTAGTCTGCCCATTAACCCGTGCGAATCGATGAAACATTCAACTATGAACGCACGAATCCCGTGTATTAATTAAATTTAATTCCACTGACTTTTTGTTTTCTCAGCGATACAAATAGCGAAGTCAGTATGAATTATAATTCTATTCGTATGACGCTGAGGATTACCGAATGCAATATTTCATCAACTCGGGAATACCCGATTCTTCTATTTTTCTTCTTCTTCTCTGTACTCAATCAACGGTCGATTTTCCGCAAAATCTC